CTTTCAAATGTTGAGGAACAGAAAGACCGCGGCGTCCAAATAACCTCCTCCGTTATTATTATTATTATTATTATTATTATTAAACCATAATTACAGTGTCAAAGGATAGGAAAACGCGCGACAGGGAGTTAGTTACACCGAAGCGAGTCTTTATGCAGATCAATAAAGAGCTGTTCGGAAAAATCCACGGGGTATTTCTTCGGTCTTACTAAGAGTATGCTGTCCAGGCCTGGCGACCGGGGTTCAAGAAGAATTATCAACAGCTGAAAAGACTACAAGCGATGACTACCAAGGTCATCAAGAATCTTGGCAATCTGCCTTAAGAAACCAGCCTGGTCAAACTAAATTTGTTTCCTCTCAAGCGCAGACTATTGCTCAGCGATCTCGCCAAAACCCACGAGATTGTTAGAGGCCATCGGGTGCCAGTTTTATGTTTAGGGGAGCATTGATATTATCGCTTTGTAAGTAATTTCAAAAGTTACACAGCCGTAGTGCGTATAGAAGGGCTAGATGTCGTTGGTAAAAATTATAGAATGTTGTTTCCTTGAGTGGGTTTGTCGAATATTTGTGTGCAGTTTTGAAATATGACCGATGATAAGAATTCATCGTGAGAAGCGGGTGCAGATAATTCGACCTAGGTTATTTTCGAGCAGTTCAGGTAACCCGCAAAATATCTTATATTAAGTTATGGTGTTCAAAACTATCGAGGTGTCCATAAAACACTTTCTCTCGTCAAAAGGTTGACCGAATTATTATCGTGAATATTACTGACTTTTGTATAGCCAATCAAGTTATTGGCCTTTCCCAACACGGCTTTTTTCCCCATCGCTCCTGTCAAACATGTCATGAGTCGTTTCGCAATTCAATTATTTCTCTTAGTAATGATCATTTATTCAGTATAATTCAGTATATATGATTTGTAGAGGCAGAGCCTTGGAAAACCCTATTTACAGATAGAAATATGAAAAAAACATGCAGATATTTGCATAGCAGTTATGCCAGTCATTGATATCGTGTAAATATTTGACCATCAAGCATAAATTTATGTAGTCTTCTTTTGAAGGTCGCAACGTTCTCCGCTGAGACAACGGAGTTCGGCAATTTCTTCCATCCCTCAACCAGCCGGCAGGAGAAGGAGTTGGCCCGCAATTCCAGTTTGGCATATTTTGTCTTCAATTGGTATTGGTGCACTCGACGATTTGTCGTCCGCGCCAGTTCGAAGAAAACGTCAAACTGAAGAGCACAGTCTAGCCCTCAGACGATCCTGAAGGCCATGATCATACCCCCTCTGTACTGCGGTGGTCAGACAGGTGAAAGTTCTATTTTTGAATTCGGTTTAGTCGTGTCTTGTCAATTTAGCATACATAGTCTTTCACTTAACATAGCCTCAATACTATAAAGTTTTACCCGCTTATATAAAAGGTTTTCCTCGTAAAATTTTGAAGGACAGTATATTCCAAACGATAAACTGTGTCCGCTGACCGCCTTTATCGTCGGTTTATTGACTGGTAAGAGAACTATACTGTTCTCTTTTTTATCCTACATAGCCTCATTATCCAATTCAAATTTACTCAGAGTTTTGTTTTGCCACCTACATAATTGTCCATTACTCGTTTTTTAAGTTTGCATTCCGTTATTGAGTTAAAATTGCTTGGTATCAATTGCGCTGTCTGATTCGCCAATATTAATAGCTTTCAGAAATTTTTTCGTCATACATAACCTCATTCATATCTCCTTGAAGTTTCAGCAGCTATCATCAATATAAACTTTTGGACTAAAGTCTTGTTTTGCTTTTTCGACATAAAACCTCAAGCAACCTTCGTCGAAATCTGAAAGATACGAAACTCCAAGAAAAACCCATTGTACATATGAAAAAAATAGACCTAGGGGCGCTCGATAATTTTAACAATTTTATGCCTCGTTACGGATGAATTTTTTCTGTTCTTGGTGCCCTTCTTGGAGGAAAGTTGCCAACAATTTCGTCTCAGCAGTGTTAGAAGCTCATGCCTCTCATTAACCTGGTTGCTTGTGAGACCGAAGACAGACACAAACGGGGTTTCAACTTTGTGTTAAAAACTTTCCTAAGAGTAGACAACCAATCGATGTCGCTTTCCACTTTCTTTACTCTAGGAGCGAAAATCCACCAATTCTTCTTAAACTATTTTCGTCAACAGAAGTGGACTTTATTTTCTCCCATTTGGAGCGCTTAGCTCAATATCTCAGGGGAAATAACATTTTTATTAGTCGAGATAAATCTCCACTGCAACGGAGAGTTTCTCCCCATTAAAAAACGTAAAGCCATCCCAGCATTCTACTCATCTGCCGTTTGCCCCTAATGCAGATTCTCCATCGGACTTGAGCCAAACCTCCCTATTATTTGCAATGGCCCCAGTTCCATCTAGCTCTTCAACTGAGCACATTATCACTGGGTCAGATAAAACCAGCCTCGTCAAAACGCCCCCACGAAGCAAGGATTGCTCAAATGCGGCTCCCAAATTTACGACGGAGCTTGATTTTAACAGTAAGGATGAGCCAATCCTAGACCCACAACCGACCCCTAGCACTCAGACTAATGAACTTCTTACACAACTTAGATCGAATCCATCCCGTTCCCGCGCCTGGCCACTCAGGTCTGACTTTGCGGTTAGGTCAAATTAGCCGGATGATAGTTCAGGGTGATCTTTACCTGTTTCTATCCCGAATTCTTAATTAAACGTTAACACCACAGTTGTGAAGCCCACTTACGCACCAGCCTGCAAAATGCAAGTATATAGCTTTGGTGATAATTTTTCCAATCCCATTGATAGTCTGACACCTCAAATAATAGAGCCTTTTCCTGATGCAAACTGCTTCTCGAAACCATTACGTCCGCTACCTAAGATAAACTGTCTCTCATATTATGCTTACAAATCCCAAAATCCTATTTTCATGGCTCATATTATTCCAAGCCAACAAAATAGCTTTCCTCTTCCTGGGTCCTCCTCAAATATTTTTCCACACAATACTGCATGTCTAGTTAGTGGTAATTACCCCACAAATTTTAGACCACAACAACTTTGTCTTCCACCGATTACTTCGTCCCAACAGCTTAATTTTCCACCACCAACTCTTCCTTTTTTATAAGTGGCAATGATCGAAACATACCTATTAGGAATACGGTCAGTAATGTCTCTCTCAACCCAAGATCAGTCGTGCAAAAGATGGCACAAGTAAAAAGTGTGGCTGCTGACATTGACCCAGACTTCTTCTGTATTACTGAATCTTGGGCGCACTCTCTTATCTCAGGCTTGGCACACAATATAAATAGCCTCAGTTTATAACGCCAAGATCGTGTCGAAATACGCGGCGGTGGTTGCCTTTTTTACATCAGAGCCTCACATGCACAATCGCCTTATGACCTAAACATTTCCTCCTTTTCTAGAAAATTATGCTTCGGTTCAATATTACTCCCGCAAAAATAGAAAAGCCTTAGTCGGATCTGCAAAATATCCTACTTGTTACTCCGGAAATAAAAGCCAACTCTGTGAAATCTTTGAAAAAAAATTGCAGAGACTTCTTCCGATGTGAAGATCATCGTAGGAAATTTTAATTTGCCAGAAAATGACTGGCCCACACATAATAATGTTTTAATGTTCTAAAGTCGGTCGAATAAACATTCCAAACAGTCGATGGAAAAGCTCTTCGCCAAAGGTAAGGAAGGATCTGCCGATAGCTCCCAGGATGCTCATAGCCTTCTTTGCTATGTTGGCGCAGTGAGACGAGGGTCTGAGTACGGTCGTCATCCACACACCGAGGTCCTTTACCTCGTTTACAACCTCGAGTTCGTGATCTCCGGTGAAATACTGATAATCAGATCTTAAATCCTTTCGGCAATAATGATTTTTTAAAGACCCCTCGGGGCCCTATCAAAGCAAGTAAGAATAAATTAACACACAAATTTAAACGAGGTAGACAGAATCTGTACAAAATGAAATTCATACTTTCTGAATTAGTAGTCCGTTAAGAAAAAATGGCCAGCGAGAGATGAAAAAAACTACAAGTAAAATTTGAAAAATGATTGGATTAATTTTGCACAAGAAAAAAATCCTCGCTAGAAAATAATAACAGAAAAATGCGGGCAGGACTGGTCTGCATGTGGCGGCATATAAAGGATTGTAATCGGACATCGTCAGTACAGAAATAAATGTCAGCCTTGAGGGGTACGTATGCGGGTCGGACAGGACTGGTCAGAATGAGGTATTGTATACGGGATTCAGAACTGACATCGTCAGGGCAGAACTGATACGCCGGACGAGAATATTAGCAACAAAGAGGCCAGACGAGAGGAAGCCAGATGCGATCGGCCACAGTACGCTTCGAGTCCAGCCGAGGAGTGGGGAACGAAAGTACGACCAAACTAATAGTAGACGGCGAAGGCTGAAGGTCCCGCCATGAGCATCCACAGACCGCATGAGGTCAAAGTGCGGGAGATGACATCAGGAACCGCAAAATTCGTCGCTATGGGGAAGGAGTGTTAGCAGTGGATTTAGAAACCGATGGTTGTGTTAAAATTTTCGACGATCTAAGCGCATGTGCTCATTCACGACTTTGCAGGTATGGCCGCGTAGTTGGTTTGTACGGGCAAACTCAAAGGATTCCTCTGCTGTTAATGAGCAACCCTGTCCGTGGACCATCCGGAACGTCCAAAGTAGACTGCAGTTTATTTGTCTATAAGAAAGGGTTAATAAACCAAGCAAATTCAGCCTCTCCTGATAAGACAAATGCTTTAGACCGTCGACCATCTTTGTCGCTCTGCGTTGCACCTGTTCGAGTAAGTCGATATCCTTCCTCATCCTTAGTGATTATGCTGGCACTCCATACTCCAGATGAGGTCTCACAAAGACACCAAAGAGTCTTTCAAAGAGTTCGGGAGGAAATATTTTGACATCCAGGGAGATCTTCTGAACTGGATTAGGGCGTTTCTGGTTGGTCGGAAACAACGTGTCTGTATCGGGGATGATATGTCAGAATGGGTGAATGTGACCAGTGGTGTGCCGCAAGGCTCAGTTCGGGGACCATTGCTCTTCATCCTTTACGTTAACGACAGCCTTCAGGAACTCGACTACGGCAAAATAATGTTTGCAGACGACGGTAAGCTCTGGCAAGTCATTAAGGGTCCAAATGATCAGAGATCCCTTCAAGATAATCTGCACCGACTGCAAGCGTGGTCGAAGAAATGGCTTCTAGATTTCAATGTGGAGAAGTGTGCCGTCCTTCATCTGCGTCCAACCAACTCTCATTCAATCGAGAGTCTGAGGACTTATCACCTGAAAGATATAAGGCTCCCCGCAGAATCTTCACAGAAGGATCTCGGGGTTTGGATACAGAACAACCTGAAACCAACACTGCAGTGCCACAAGGCTGCAAAAAACGCCATGGGAGTGCTGCATGCAATAAAAAGGGCTTTCGTAAATTTTGACCAAGACCTTTTTGGGAGGGTTTACGGCACATTTGTTCGGCCCCACTTAGAATATGGCATACAAGCATGGCGGCCATGGCTGGTAAAGGACCAAGAATGCCTCGAACGGGTACAACGGCGTGCAACAAAGCTGGTAAACGGTCTAAAAAGCCATTCCTACACAGACAGACTGAATTGCCTTAATTTATTCCCTCTGTGTTACAGGCAGCAAAGAGGTGATCTTATCCTCGTCTACAAGATAATACATGGCCTTGAGTATGGACTTAAATTTGAGGACATGTTTCAGTGGCATCTTTCACCCAATCTTCGTGGTCACTCGATGAAGTTACGGATAACAATGTCCAGGCTGAATCTTCGTTCCGAGTTTTTCACGCAGAGGGTAGTGGAGAAATGGAACGATCTCCCTCAGTCAGTCGTGGAGGCTACATCCCTGCAACTATTCAAGAAACGCTTGGATGATTATTTGTGTTCCTTGTTTTCCCTCGACGGTCTGAATCTGAACTAATACCCCTGGTCCCCACAAATATTTCCTCTGAGACAATGCTACTCAAATGAACCAAGTACTGTTTTTATAGTGAATATGTTTTGTTTGTGTACAGTTATTTCTAACGAGCTGAATGTAATCAATAGGGTTTTCAAAGGCTTTGCCTATTATCCTTAACAAATAAACTGAAAAAATGCACGTCTGATCCAGTGTAAAGTACTAGTTGCCTTCTGGACCATCTTTCTACAGTGTTCTGATGGCGATAGATTTGTGGTCGTCCATACACCCATATCTGTGTGTCTTTCCACCGTTTCTAACCTCGTCCCGTCAATATAGTACTGGTGTTTGGGAGAGGCATTGCGGCCGGTGTTCCGGTGCAAGACTACGCATTTGGACACGTTAAACTTCAAAAGTCATCTGTTCGACCAAGCACACAGTTTGTCGATGTTCGACTGCAACTTCTGTGCGTCATCATCGCATTTGACTTCACTCCATATTTTTATGTCATCCGCGAATATGAGTGTTCGGGAATGAGACCGTTGACAGTGCCTTTATGCTTTGCAGTGTAAGGTGTTTGCGTAATTTCGACTTTATAACCAGTGACTTAGGCAATGTGTAATTTCTGGCAGAAGATTATTCCAACTGAAGGCATATTTGGAAGTCAAGAATAAGGAACGCTTAGATGTAGTGCAAAGAGTCGGCGGCGGAATCACCATGGAGGAGTTGCGCGTGACATAAGACCGATCTCTCGGAGTGAGAGTGTCACTGAGCGCAAGATTGGAGCTAGAGTTGATGCGAAAAAGGAGGCAAAATCCAGTTTCAATTCTTCCAACCCACAAAAACATAATGTCCTCCAGTTGACATCTTTGCGTATAAGAAGTACCGGACGGAGCTTGAGAGAACACTTTCCGGGTGAAAACCCTCTGAACATTTTCGATCTTACAGCGGTCACAGGCGTTCATTTAACCAAAGAAAGGACAGCAGTATTCGAGGACTGGAAGAAAAAACGTTTGATAGAGTCTTAGCTTCTTTTCCGGAAGGAAAAATTACGCGATATGAATCCCCGTATCTGAGCGGCTTTGGCAGAGATTCTATCTGCATGAGGTGATAAAGCAAGCCTATTTATATAACTTAGTCCTAGGTCCTTTATGGTGTGGCATGCGGAGAGTAGGTTATTTTGAAAAATTAAAGGATCAGGAATTTTGGGCATAATCAAAAGACATGAAACTACACTTGGATGGTGAAAACTCCATCTGCCATGTTAAACCCCATCTCCTTAAGCGTAGTAAATCGGAATAAATTTTTCCTGCACAAACGTTTGCGGTGTCCTTAGAATATGAGTAAACACATCTGAGATCATCGGCATAGATAAAGTTTGCCAATTTTCGAGTTCAGTCGAAACATAACTGATGTAAAGAAGGAAGAGTAGCGAACCCAGAACCGTACCTTGAATACGCCACTCGTGATCGAGTGAGGTGTCGAGTAGCTATTACCGACCATGACTTTCTGATATCGATTGGACAGAGAGGACCTGATGAAGTCGAGTAGAGGCGGCCGGATGCTAAAGTGCTTCCAGATTTACTAAAAGACGTTTACGGGGCACCTTGTCATAGGCTTTGCTAGGATAAAAGTAGATAATTACCACTGACAAGTGATTAAATTAAGAAATGCCAAGTGGCAAGTTTGCAGGGTCGTTCAGGCAAAAATCCATGATGACTAGAGCTCAGAAGTCTATTAGTTAGAAAGAAGTCAACAATGTCATTGAAAATTAATGCTTTCAAGAAGCTTTGTAAGAGAGGTGTTTTGTGCACGCCCCGATAGTTATTAACATCGGACCGAGATCCTGACTGGTTGTCATCGTGCCCTTACTGAATGCGCTCCATCGGCGGTCTTGACAAAGCCTTCTATATTCGCCATATACTAGTAGTTTGGTTGCATCTCCCTTCCCCCATGTTCGGATGGACTCGGTTGAATGAAACCGACCGCATCTGGGTTCCTATCGCCTCGGGACTGATCTTCATGATGCCCTCACTGAATGCGCTCCATCGATGCTCTTGGTGAAGCCTTCTATATTCGCCATATACTAGTAATCTGGTCGCATCTCCTTTGCCCTATCCTCGGATGGACTCTGATGAATGTAACAGACCGCATCTGGGTTCTTGTCGCCTCGAGACTGGTTGTCATCGTGTCCTTACAGAATGCGCTCCTTCGGCGGTCTTGACAAAGCCTTCTATATTCGCCATATACTAGTAGTCTGGTCGCATCTCCCCCCATGCTCGGATGGACTCGGTTGAATGAAACTGACCGCATCTGGGTTCCTATCGGCTTGAGACTGGTTTTCAATTTCGGCACTTATTTTTCTTATTCAAGGCGATACAGGCCAGTCCTGACCGACCCGCCTACGTACCATTTTATGAAATCCGTTACGCAATGCCATATACAGCTGACATTTATTTCGGCCATGTTGATGTCGGACTATATTCCATTTTGTACCGCCACATGCAGGCCAGTCCTCCCTGTTTTTTTCTGATGCTATTTTTCTGAGGGGTTTTCTTTTCTCCTGTTAAATTACTACAATCCTTTTTAAATTTTGCTTTGGAGTTTTTTTTTTCACCCTCGTTTTTTTCATTTTTTTTCATTTTCATTTTGCTTAACGGACTTCTAATCTCAAAAACTATGCATAGCACTTTGTGCAGATTTTGTCTACATCGTCTAAAATTTGCATGTAAATTTATTTTTACTTGCTTTGATGGGACCCCGACGGGTCTTTAATAAAATAATTGAATTGAATTGAATTGAAGACGGGAATGATAATGGAAGTTTTCCGTGTTTCAGGAAAGTATCCTTTTGAAATATAAACGGAGAATAACTGACTAAGCAATATGGGAAGGTCGGACGCTTGTTTAATAATCGAATTCGGAATCCCGTCCGTTTCTGAGCAGTGCGAATATTTCAAACGACTTATGTGTTTCTTAATGAGATCTGAGGAGACATTGATTGTACTCAGTGTCCTATCTGAAAGTGAGCGAAAGAAAGGGACTGGATCGGACTCAGTTTTAAGGTGTTTTGCGAAGAAAGCACTAAACAACTCCGCCTTGTCAGTGTCATCGATGAGGAGGATTTTGTTACCGTTTAGCAGGGGTGCAATTTGATGACCACTCTTAGGGGAGGACGGATGACGGAGATGTTGACGTCGGACTCGAATCACTAAGGACCAGCGACTCTCTTTGCCTGTCGCTCGCTTGGCGCATCCTCAAGACCACTTCAAAAACCTATGTGATTCTAATATGAACGGATAGGGAACTAGTGGATGGGTCACGTTGCTGCCGTGTCAACTTTTTTAGTCTGCTGTGAAGAAAATGAGGAACAAGGGAATCTGAAGAGTAAGGCTTGAGATATCTACGCGGCACAAGCTCTAGGATGTCCTTGGAAACGTTGGACATGACATCACGAAGAATGGTTGAATCGCTACAGGAGAGCAAACCACACCAATCCAAAGATCTAATATAGTTATTTATTAAGTCATCATCTACGCAATCTTACTTTATGCAAGTTCGAACGGTGCTGGTCTTTTTTGAAAAGACGAGCGGTAAGCAAGAATAAATTAATACGTGGTTACTGTCGAAGGGGTCCTTTTTAAAAGCAACAAAAAGAGGAGCAATGTCATTGGCATTGATAAGATCTAAAATGTGATTATCCCTTGTTGGAGAGCGCCCCAGTTAAGACCAGTTGGAAAAATTGACAATATCTTGAAAGGGCTGGAATCTAGGTGGACAGCTATTGGAAACCCAGTTTATTTTGGGAAGGCTAAAATCCCAAGTAATTATGTTAACATCGAAAGCAGCTGCCGAGATTAATTTAAAGATTTCAAACAGTTGTGAATCATCACTAGCTAAAGAATTTGGGGGATTGCACATACAGCCAATAAGTGTCTTTCTTTGCGGCGAGAGAATAACAGATGCAAAGCAGAAGCTTCCCATGAATGAGGTAAATGTTATGGTGAGCAGCGTCGTGTGGTAGAATACAAGAAATGAAGTTGGGATGAGGGAGACCGGGGTATTGGGCGTGGAGTTGCCGAAATAATACTCAGGTTAAGGGTCCAGGACGGTGAGTTGACGGGAGACAGAGATACCTCGGACGGTGAGGTTGGTGGTCATGTAGTGGAGACGAGACTGACGGCAATCGACAAAAAGATCTAAAGTGACGAGGTGTGCGTGGAGAATGACATAGGGGATGTCAGCAACCACAAAGACCCAAGGGGAACGACGCCGAAGGCCGATGTCCAGAGAGAAGATGCAGGTGTCGAGTGTAATAATGGGTGACGTGTTTACGGCCTGAAGGAAAAGACCGGGACTGAGACACCAACGACCAACTGGCGTGGGCGGAATGCCACTTAGCTGTGCACTAGTATGACCAAGAAAGGCCTGTCATTCCGGGTGTCATGGACACACACTGTGCAACCAGGTTTAGAACAGCCAGGAAGACTGCTTACACTGACTTTCAGGATGATCCGTCTTACCCGTTTGCTCTGCTTATAGGTGAAGGGACAGGGAAAATGCGGCGACGGGCTTTAGCACCAAAGGATGGGGGTGGGATCCCAGCAGGTGGCGGCTGTGGTGGATCGGGCTGAATGAACAGACTGCACATGCGGGGTGGACGGCTTCAGTTGGCCGTGGGATGAGGGAGAAACGATCTGCTTCCGAAAAGAAGTTGTAACATCGGTCCTCTTAATAAGTCCGATTTCCAAATACGAACATGGGAAATATAAGGAGTTGTGGGAATTGACATAGCTAAAAGTGACGGCTTGGAAACGCCGTGCACTCCCATAAGCCGTCCGACCACCTGAGGAAGTTGTGTGACCGAAAGAATGCCAAAGCGGGTGCCAAAATATGCTGTTCTTCCGGTAGAAAATTATATATTGTCAGTACCGGACTTTATCATAGATTAGGAAGAATGTATGTAGGTATGTATGTATGTATGTATATTGAAGGATTACAGGCAGAGCCCTTGATGACCCTATTTATGTACAGTGCTTTCGCAGATCCATGCTGTACAAGCCGATTTCTGTCGAAAACTAGACGAGCAAGTTTTCTTTTAAACACACAAACTGTGCCAGCCGTCACCATCTCGCTTGGAAGCGAGTTCCACGGTGTGACAACCCGCTGGCTGAATGAAAATTTTCGTCGGTCTAAACGCGTGCGCTCATTCCCGACTTTGAATGCATGGCCGCGTAGTTGGTTTGTACGGGCGAACTCAAAGAAGTCCTCTGCTCTTAATGAGCAACCCTGGCCGCGCACAATCCGGAAAGTCCAGAGTAGACTGCAGTTTATTTGTCTATAAGAGAGAGGGAATAGGCCAAGCAAATTCCGCCTCTCCTGATAAGACAAATGCTTTAGACCGTCGACCATCTTTGTCGCTCTGCGTTGCACCTGTTCGAGTAAGTCGATATCCTTCCTCAGCCATAGTGATTATGCTGGCATTCCATACTCTAGATGAGGTCTTACAAAAACACCAAAGAGTCTTTCGAAAAGTTCGGGAGGAAATATTTTAAATGCACGTCTGATCCAGTGTAGAGTACTAGTTGCCTTCTGGACCATCTTTCTATAGTGTTCTGATGGCGATAGATTTGTGGTCATCCATACACCCATATCTCTGTGTCTTTCCACCGTTTCTAACCTCGTCCCGTCAGTATAGTACTGGTGTTTGGGAGAGGCATTGCGGCCGGTGTTCAGGTGCAAAACCACGCATTTGGACACGTTAAACTTCAAAAGCCATCTGTTCGACCAAGCACACAGTTTGTCGATGTTCGACTGCAACTGCTCTGCGTCATCATCGCATTTGACTTCACTCCATATTTTTATGTCATCCGCGAACATGAGAGCCTCGCAATTCACTTCGCTGATGCGGTCATTAACATAAATCAGGAAGAGTACTGGGCCTAAGACAGAACCCTGTGGGACACCACTTTCCACCTTTACCCATTCCGAGGTAGAATTACTAACGACGACTCTTTGTAGTCTGGAGGACAGAAAACTCCTGATCCACTTAAACATTCTCCCTTGAATCCCTACATCCCAGATCTTTTGTAAAAGAAGCCTGTGTGGGACACTGTCAAAGGCCTTCTTGAAGTCAAAAAATATGACATCTACTGGAAAACCTTTATCGGTAGCTCGTGTCCATTTCTCGTGCGAGTAAAGAACACTCGTTAGGCAGGAGCGCCCTGGACGAAAGCCGTGTTGGGCATCACACAATATTTTGTTCTGTTCCAGGTATTTCATCAAGTGTCTTTTGATAATACGTTCCATTATTTTACACGCTATGCAAGTAAGACTGACAGGACGATAATTTCCGCAGTCAAGTCTTGAGCCTCCTTTATGGATCGGAGTAATGAGTGCGCACTTCCATTCTTCCGGGAGCTCGCCGTCTTCAAATGACTTTTGAAATATTGCGGATAATGGTTTGCACAGTTCATTAGCAAGTTCACGAAGTGCTAGGGCGGGAATTCTATCTGGGCCAGGCGATTTGGCAGGTTTCAGCCGGAGTAGCTCGGCCCTAACTATGGTAGATGAAAAGAGTGGTTCCTCGGTTAAGGAGAGTAGGGAGGGGATAGGATGGGGAAGGGTACTGGGAGGAGAGGTTGGTTGGCGAATGGATGAATGGGCAAATATAGCACTAGGTTCTCGGGTGAAGACGGACTGAAAGAAGTCGGAAAGGAGAAGAAAAATGTTGTTCGTAGGGACTCACCAATTGTCGGGGTGACATGGTCGACAAGACGGAGGTTCCCAAATCAGATGTCAGGGAAGACGGATTGGGTTGGATCATTTTTACTGCTGAAAAAGGGTGTACATTAAGGCACAGCAAACGGTCACTACAGCGGTCCCTCCAGGCAAGTTTTTGCTGTCCGTTTTGCCGTCGAGGTTCTTCGCCCTCAGCGCGTGTGTGAGCCTTCCACTCTGTCTCAGTGGCCGCCAGCCAATCAGGGAGGAGGCAACGTTGATTGGTTCTGAGCACTCGTGAAGTTGCTTATAAGTCTCGCGCGTCCCGGCAGCGGACAGGAGGGCAGGGTGACAAGTAAGCGGAGAGCAAGGAAGCACAGGCTGTCACAAAACTGGCTTTTTCAAGAGCGACGCGCAAGATACATCACGACTAGTGGTGCCATGCTACCTATTCCTCCGCATTCTGAATGAACTGCAACACGAGTTAGGTCACGTGTGTCGTAAATAAGCAGGTGCCGCAGGTATGCAATTCCCTGCAGCACGTGTCCTGATTGTGCCTCCTTTGAAGGTTTCAATCCCTGGCACCGAGCACATTTCCATCCGATGGCCAAAAGACTCCCATTTAAACGCGTAGGTATTAACGTGGTGGCATCCTTACCAATTACCCTATCCGACAACCACTAGATTTTAGTGATGATCGACTGCTTCCCTAAATGGACTGAAGCAGTCCCATTTCTACGGCAAGATACCGCATCGGTTGCAATCGCTTTGCTCGACACATGGATCTGCGGCTTAGTAGAACTAATTTCACTACACTCTGAATGCGGACCCTATTTTGAGACTAGGTCAGGACGTGACGTATGCGACCTCTTTTAGATTCTTAAGACACATACTACCCCGGCTCGTCCTGCGGGGAACAACCAGGTGGGACGTACCAATCGGACGTTTAGTAGACTGTTGGATGCCTTCGCCGAAGACCACGGTCCACGTAGCTGGGATGTATCCTTTCCCTGCGTCATGGTGACATACAGATGCACAATGCACGCTTCGACAGACCACGCCCTCATCATCATGCTGACCGGCCACCATTTTCAGTTACCAGACGACTCCCACCTCCCATTTCTTATCAACGATGACCATTCGCCAGATACCTACCTCGTTAAACTTCAAGAAACCTTAAGGGCCGCACACAACCCAACGAGAACCCACTTAGGCTCATCATATGAACGACGAAAAGATTTATTTCAACCAACATGGTAAAGGCGCACCCTATACTCAGGGCGACCTCGTGCTACGTTACCGACTGACTCTGTTAGTCGGAAACCGTCCAAATTCTTTCCTTATCCTGTAGGTCTCTTTGTCAGCATGGACTTCCTACCCTTTTCCACCTATAACACCTGCGATGCGCAGTCTCCTGCAGGTCGTGCCTTCACCGTACATTATGACAAGCTCAAACCTTACAGGGGAAGTTGCCCAAAGCTACAGTAGACTCTATCAATTCTTCACCACCGTATTGTCCCGAACCCTCTAACGAAGTTGAGATCACTGGCAATCCCACCCAGACAGCGCATTTGCGGCCAGAGCAGTCTCGTGAGAGAGAGGGCGCAGTGTAGAAGGGCGACCCGACCCTGTTGCTTTAATTTGATCTTTTTGTACTCTTGTGCAGTTTTGAAGCGAAACCGCTACCACGATATAGCCGGATACTAGACTGCATCATTCGTTGGTGTTCTGGTTGCATCCATTCACATCGGTTTTCTGGTGAGCGTCGCTTGGATAATGAGCCGTTGCATATATATCGGTTTCTACTTGTATCGTGCTCTGGGACTTCGTAGAAAGGATCCTTTTATTTTCTAACTTCCAAATTTTTATTCCCATGTTCTTCACCGTACGGCCGAAGGACGGTGCCATTCGTCCGTAACTTAGAATTCTGGATCGCTTTAATGCGACCATCTAGTCCCCCACTAGTGTGGCGACCGAAGACGTCGAAGGTGGCACACACGGGATAACGTGAAGTACAGGGGCAACCTTTGACCTAAATCCAACTGAAATGAGTTGTTAGGCACGTCATCGCACTCATCTTGAAGACGAGGTCGAAGAATTTGAAGAACGCAAGTATATGTATAATGGAAATGGAGGGAAATTTTTATACATTTAAATAGTCAATGGCACCGGTAGGGATGACCCTCAGCAGGGAGGTGATCCGTCGTGATGGGGGCGCTGACGCCAACACACCTGCTAAACAGCCGATGGATAATGCAACGCTGTGTGCAGCTACAGGGGAGGTCCTTGGAAGATGCCGACGTAGAGAGTGAGCGGGACGAGGGCTGTGGGAAGAGAATTTGAGGTTACGTAGGGAAAAGGCATCGTCTATTTCCACCTACACGCGGTTGCACTATCTCCACCCTGGATCCGCACCAGTGTTTTCTTCATTCGAATAACCTATTCAAATTCGTGGTGCGTCACACTAGTTACTCAGCTTTTCGGGTTTATACATGGCCAATGGTCTGGTTAGTACCTGATACCACTGACGTCAATCACTCGAAGAGACTGCTGGGCTGGTTGTGCTTACTTGGACTACTGCCAAGAGCTAGCCAATCACAAAACGGGCTGCAGATTAACCATAGGGGCTAACTCTAGGCGAATATCGTGTTACCATGGAGAGGAACATCCCCCGACTTTTCCTTTTTTACCACAGACTTCTGTCTATGCCAGTATCTGGAAACCACGCCGCGTGCAGCGCGACTCCTGTGACGACTGATGTTTGTCTGGTGCTGACGGATTCTACCTGTTGCTGGCTCAAGCGAATTACAACTAGACCACACAAAATCTCCACCATCCTTCAATTGTAGCTAGAGAAAACGTGGCCGTTGTCTGTTTTATTTTTTCGGGACAAATTTTACAAAAAATACCTGCACATGTTAGAGTTCGGGCCGAACAGGGAGGAGTATCCAGCAGGAACCCATACATAGGGAACAATTCCAGAAGAACCCTAAAAATATCTTGTAGACTTTGCTTCAGTGATGCCAAATTAGCAGAGATTACAAACTCCAGATCGACCGCAGACTCGACTCTTGAAATAGCCTCACCTCCTAGCGTTGTGAGTAGGCGCGTTCGTTGTTTGCAAATTCCTGCATATTTGCTGTGAGGTTGCACCGGTAAATCCATCTGCCCAACCAGATCTTCCTGGGTGGAAGCAGGTCACACAGTCTGGTTAAAACTTCCACTGTCACCTCTTAACTTGAAACAGACGTCGGGGACTAACACCGACAAGTCGTTTGTATAAGGAAAGGAGCCCACCGTTGGGGTACACCGCCACGGGCTGGCATTTCAGGCGGATTGACGCCGCTATTACGTACACGAAACATCCTGTGCTACAGAAACCTGAATTTAGTTTGTTGCACCCCCTGCCGGGCCGTAGTCACACAGCTTGCCTGCAAGTAATCGACGATTGACTATGTCGAAAAACGGCCTCAACGCCTTCACCTCCGTTTTGCTCTAGATTTTTACCACTGAGAGGATAGTGAGTCTTTTTTAAAAAAAGTCTTGCTGACTGGGCTTCTTAGATCCGTGTTTGTACAGAAAACTCCGTGACCACTCATGGAGGATCTTTTCATGATTTTACACTGCGCTTTTGAAGGTGACTAAACAACTGTTCGCTAACTGTCACAGATCCTTTGGGCACAGTAGGGCTTATGATCTGTCTCTTGTCACTTTAAGCCCCGGCTCCTCCGCACTCTATATTAAGCAGACAACACGAGGAAGTGGTACGATAAGTTTCGGTGCACTGCATGCACAGTCCGCTGTTCGAGCCTGTTAAGTTTAAGAGTTGGCGTTTGACTCTCGGATTCTACTAACTATACTACGCCAATGTTTTTGTCCTCGACCGCTTGCGCATTCGAGCCGCGGTAGACAAATTTATTAATGCTGAACCAGTAACTTATCCATGCTTTCACTACTAGGTAGATGTCGTGGCGTAGTATTTGGATGTGATGTAACGTAGGAGGCATATTTACCCAGAAAGAATCATTTCTAGACCTTTTGGAAATGTGCGATAACCACTAACTACTTTCTACTCTGTACGTGGAGTCTCGAGCAAAAACGTTTTTGATTCCGAGGATGTTATTTTCAGGTGTAGGTATACATATTAATCGGTTCTCTCAGTAAGAGGGTCGGTTGTTTGTAACTGGCTCCTAGGATGTGCGAACGACTCATTTTCTTTGAGAATTTTACGTCTGTTTTACTTTTATAAACGTTTTTAAATTAAAGTGGACGAACGATAAACCTGACGGCAAGTCAGTAAAAGTAGTCCCTCTACTTAAAATGTCAAAAATATTTTAGGACTTTTTCCGAGTATAACCTATTTGTTTTGATTTCCTAAGCCTATTTGTTTGCCGTGTGACTGAGTTTGAGGTCTGGGACTTTCATCTGAGTTGCTTCCGTTTTTACTTATGACCCGGAAATATCGAGTTAATTGCAACAGAAGGCTTGGTCTAAATTTCTTCGAACCTGCCATTTCAGTTCCTGTTGTTGCAGGTCCAAGCCGTTCGTTTCTTGTGCCGAATTTCTTGGTCTGGGATATGTAGGGTTGTCGGCCGCTGCCTTTTACCTGAATCTACTCTTGCCTTTTCAACGAGTAATCACTGCGCCATAGTTGCCTTTAATGATCGTCAACTATTTTAAATTGTACCTTTATATGCCCGTTACCGCTGCACAATACGAAACCGTTGTGTAGACAAGCTAGCACTGTAGTACGTCATAACACGATCTTTTGGCGTTCATGCTAATTGAGTTTATCTTTATTTTAGGGCAGTTTCATTCCCCACTTGCCTCAACATGACTAGCGGAGGCGGTATCTGCGAGCGCCACCGAGTCCTTATACTGCATTCCATATTTTCAGCTCTCCTTCTCTTAGTTCACCGTTCACTGTTCTGGACAGTCAACGTTCTCGTATGCCTCCATTCTTCAAGTTAACTGATTTCTTTTAGTTTGATGGTCCACTTACCATTACTCTGTTCGAGTGTGTTGTAACCTCTTGCATTTGTGCATTTCGGTTGAGCGCAAGTGGGTTTTCGCTCTCGGATTGTGTTTGGAGAGGTCTAAGAGCCACCGCATCGGAACATTCCTTAGTAGGATTACCACTCTATTAATACAAATCCTGTAGAGTCTGAAACTGCCTGTCATCTTCTCGCTAATGGTTACATTCAACAATATGTGTTTGTATTATCTTGACCTCCCTGTGTACTTCGTTGCTCGATCATTCTCACCAATTTTCAATGTGGTAAGTATCCAAACAGTAAACATCGTCTTTTATTCACAATTTTCGCATTTGTCCATTTCTGCATCCAGACGCTTGTTTTTTTCGGTGCCATGCTGTCGGTTTCATCCAGTTTACTGTAACATTCCGAAATGCATGCTTTAGTTTTGGTGTAAGTCCTCCGAGACTGCCATTTCCGATACTAGCCGATACAATCGCTTTAATAACCGGAGGAGGTAAATACAATGCAACTTGAAATCGTTAAAGTGCTGTTTATGCATTTCCTAACGTCACTTTTTGAAGTTATCTTTTCGATATGTTGCCTTGTCTGTATCCTAGACCAGAAGGCCACATTCGGGTAACTAGAGTACTGTTAAGTGATAAGTGAAGAATTCCCTTCTCCCATTTTGCCTAACTTTGGATTTGCAAACATAATTAACTGAGCTCTTGACGTCCTGGTCGTTGTCATGTTAGCGCATCTTGTGTCCTTTCTGTGAGAAAGGTGAGTAAGGTGCTTTGATCGGAAATAAACGGGGTTTACGCGTGAACCGTATCTCAGCGTGGTTTGCTGGACGCCCGTAGGGAACGTTTATAACTGTTGGTTAACTTACCTTAGGGATTTTTCGTCTCGTAGGTCTTATACCTCCATCTCAAACCTTGTTCCACTTTTTAAGTTTCCTCTGTAGAAAGATCACAAGTCCTTCAAGCGAAGTAGGAGGAAATGAGGGTGGCTACCACTTCACTTCCTTTCGCCCCTCCCTCCACCAAAGAAAAATGCTGCGCCACGGTGGCGTCACATTGACCCATGGCATGCGTTAGACTGGCCGCACTGAGTATGCAGCTGTCCTTGACTTGTGTGAAAACCCGGTGTGCTGTGTGCAGGGTCAGGTCGTGTGTGGCACGCGTGGACGGGCTGTCTAAGTCCGTGGGCCCTTGTGCGTCTAACCCCCGCATCAGTTGACTGACCGGCTTGGACAGCGGACTGGCGCCCGGGAGAGGAAGGAGATGTCGACTCAACTCATATCTGTCCATCTAAACATTCTAACGCGCTCGAGTCCATCACTGTCGTGGCTTGGAAAGCTGCCAAGTGACCGGATAATTCAGTCCTTCTCGCAGGTCAGAGATGCAGGCTGCAATGGTTCCTTCCTAATGTGGCCTCTATGGCACTCCCACGCACTTGGAATCCTATTTGAGCTGCCTCCTCTGTTGTATGGGATTCTGGTTCACTGCGCGCCGACCAGGCGTGCGTGGCATGCGTAGACGACCTTTTTGACCCTATCCTGCCTCCGATCTTCTTGACTTTCCTGATACGAGGCCCAGGTGAATGGGACAGAGAGGATGCTGTAGATTTTGTGCAGATCTATTACCACTGGAAACTAATTCACGTACAACTCACCGTCCCTGTGCCCCTCCTGCTGGAGGGGGGGGGGGAGGGGGGTGGAACACTGTTGATGTCGTCGGAATCGACGGTCGAATTGTTATCCATGTTTCCTTGTGGTACGTGGTATGTGGTACGCGTTACACGGAGGCCATGTCGACAAGTGCTTCCAATCATAAGCGCTAAATCGAGCCGAAGTTCATCATTGCCTCGCCACTTGTCATCCTCTGTCTCCGCAGATCACGTATTAATTCAATCAGGAATGGTCGCACTCCGATCTATTGGCTTCCCGGAGCAAACAAGCTTCGTATTGGCGATACGGGTCACGAACAGGCAACCACCTACCAGGCTAAAATCGGCCAAGCTATGATGGCGGAGGGGAGCCAATGGATCGATGTGCGCCCATTCCTGAGTGAATAAATACCCGATCTACAGCAACAGAGAATGGCAGGTGGCGAGACATTGATGACCTTCAGTTCGATGAAGTGCTTATGACTCATCTGGTAGACCACCGTGGTGGCCCAACTGCGCCAAGTGTGAGCGCATGTTTGTGTTTCCGGTCCCAGCAGGTGGTCAGGGTTATGATTGGCTGAATGAGGACAAAGAAGCCCGAGACAGTGCTGTTTCAATCTACCAGACCTGTCGTCCCCCCCCCTATGATAAGTATATATGTATATGCTTGGGGGGGGGGGGACGCTCACCGATCGTCTTTACGGGACTCGTCGTGTTGTGCCTTACGGGCTCTCTCTCGAGCCAAACCAGCAGCCGCACAACGGCTCATGATATAAACAGAATAACATTACCGACAAAGACAAAGGAGACTGTAATGACCGTTCCTGGATTATTAGCCGTCATCAGCCAGTTATACGCAACCCCGCACTTCCTAATGCATATCAGCACAGGCCCTTTATCTAGGAAAATCCAGGTTCCAATCAGACATTTTATATAATATACGCTTCTTCCGCCGCACAGAGGAGGGATCGGGCGAAAACAACTATTCTTGGCGCCCTTATGCATGCTGCTACTTATTTGCTAGAACTTTGTTGTTGCTTCTCAAAATCTGTTCTTTTGCCTATTTAAACCGATCTCTTCTGAATGTAAAAAATTCCATCCCAAACGTGCTCTTTCAGCTTGGTCTCACTGCGTCTATTTGCATATTATGTTGTCTTCGCCGCCCGAGCGCAGTATATATTTTTTTCTGACACCGACCCACCCTTCAGTTGACGTTTGAAAGTAGACCATGGGAATCATCAGTTTGCGTAAACCGACTGAACCACTTTGGGCTTGCTGAGACGCCACTCTCAACATTCTATTCATGCAGTCCCACGCACTTTACTGTGTGTGCCATTGTGCTCCACCCTACTCATAAATCGTGTGCAGTGGTAGCCCTAAAAGGTTTCCGATGTCGGTGTAGGGTTTGGCTGTAGGGTACGGGGTCGAACACTAAAGTGTATGGACTAAAGAAAAACTCATACATGTTAACAACTGAAGTTAGACCTACAGAAATCGGTTGGAAAGCCTATACTGATCGACAAGAAAATGAAGAAGCACACCATCTTGAAGCCCCTTGCAATTGTACATCTTTTTGGAACCTCCTTCTCGGGTACTTCGACATCTGATGGTATTTTATACCTTACAAGTCATGGTGTGCTTTATCTTGCGAGACGGTCGGTACCGGCCACCGCACCCACAAACTCTTGGAGGCAGTTAGCAAAAGTACATGACGACGGAATTTGATGCATGCTTGTAGCAGACTATGCAGTGAAGCCAGACTATGAAGACCGCCTTCTGTGGGGGCAATTCTATACACACCGCGCCGCACGAAGTCGCCCTATTTGTGAAATGAGGTGGGTTTCATCATGTTAGAAGGCTTCCGCAAAAATCTTTGTGCCAGTTCGACCGTCACGAACGATGACGTCCACCGTGTGCCCCGCAGCATGACCGGCGTAACTTACACCTGAAGTAGTTTATAATGCTAGCAGACTTGCGCAGTATCTGTCACACTCTCCTATTTCGTCCATCTGGGTCCAGTGCCAGGACAGAGTCAGGAAGACCGGAGACGGGGTCGGGTGCAGTGGCTACGGGGTACTACACACGTCCGGTTTGCACACGGTGAACCAGATTTTCGCAGAATTAAGAAGTGGCCTGCTCAGATCTCATCCGAGCGGGGGTGCCATAGAGGCCACACTAAGAAGCGTCTATTGTAGCCCCCACTCTCCGTCGTGCTTGGAGGACCAAAGTTTTCCGTCGATCAGCAGTCTTCCTAGTCGGGGCCCTTAGCATGCCGTGATAGGTTATGAGCGCGTCCGATTGTTTATAGCACCAAGTGCCATGGGGACGGGGCCCCTGGAGTCGACCTCCTTCCCTTCTCCCAGACAGCAGTGCACTCTCCAAGCCGATCAGTCATCTAATACGGAGATTGGGTGCAAGTGTTTGGCAGAGCTGTGCAGTACGTTCATGCGTGCAGCACACAACCCGGTCCCAGCCCAACGCAACAAAAGAGGTGGCAGACACAAAGAGAGTGCCCAGTTGTTGCGTTCTGCCAAGCATACTTACACGGACTTCTACCGCGTCCGCACAGATCGTCCCTCCAATGCGCCGTCGAATGTGGCACACCGTAGCCAGCCACGGCTAGTTTCCGAGTCCCTTCTTCATAAAATAGCCCACTTTTGGTACCACTTTCTGCCAGTTTCCCTCGTAGGTCTATTTCTGGGCCTTGATTTCCTGTCGGCAACAACTGTTTACAAACCATTAGTATGATAACCTAGAAAAAAATGGCAGTTCGATCGCCGTTTCTGTCGATGTCTACCGTGTGACCTACAGTAGGGTGGATGCAGTGAGGGTGAATCGCACGTAGATCACTTTAGAAGGATAGTAGAATTGCATAGCATCTATTGCATTCTCTCTTCACTTATCCGCGTGGGCCCGTTGTCAAGAAGATCGGAGGCGGTATCGGACGCAGGTGGCTCTCGCTGCGTGAACCCGCACCTAGATGTACATCTACTCCCCTGGTCCGCGCACAAACGACCGAAATTTCACACAGCAAGAAAGACTGGCGAGGGCTTGGTTCAACTCCTAACTGAGTGTAAGTGCCATAAAGGACACATTAAGAAGCAGCTAGTGCCTCTCCATTCTGCGTGGAGGACCGAGTTATCTCGTTAGTTGGCAGCCTTCTAAGCCACGGCTGTTATCAGATCTTGATTGATGCTGCGATGACTGAATGTGCGTGGGCAGTGTTGAGATGGTAGTGACGGGTGCTTCTGTTACAGGTTAACCCGTCTCAGTGCGATAGATTCGCAAGTGACCGGCTATGTCGCTCCATGATGTACATTTGCGGTAGACAGGATGCATTGGGGGCTGCTGGGTCAGTTTCGGTGGTGATGCTGCTGCTGGTGGTGGCCTGACTGGTGGATGGGGAGTTGGTAATACTCTAAATTTGGAAGTTGTACGGTGTACTTGGTGTGCTGGTATTACGGTGAATTCCGCTCTTGTGGATGCGTCTGTGGCCTAATAGTTTCCTGCGATGATTTAATGTGCGTGGGCAGTGCGGACAGCGGAGGCGGATGCGGCGAGTGTATTTCGAAGCGCTTGGCAGTGATGCGCAGGTGTTGGTATGGTGAATTCGCAAGTGGTCGACCAGGGGCGGATGCGTCTCTTTTATCCTCCCCTTTGGTGGGTGTTACTAGCGAAATCGCCGTAGAAGAGTCGCTCGAGTAGGCGCTCGTCATTCATTCTTGCGAGGTGGCCGCTCAAACGCACTTGAATTTGCCTCATCGGTGCGTGAATGATGAGGATTCCGGTCATTTTAAGGACTTCTGTGTCCGGAATCCTGTCGTGCCATCTCCGCTTCAGCATTATCCGGAGGCATCTGAGATTGAAATTCCCGAGTTTACTCGCATTCTTCTCGTAGACTGTCCAGGCCTCTGCTCCAAATAACAGTGTTTTGAAGATGACAGCTTGGCCCATCTTCAGGTTTGTGTTGAGATGGAAACCATGACTAATCCACACGGAGGCTTGCAACCACGGTTTGGAGTTGCGTGCCGTTGACCGTGGTGCGAGTCGTTGTGTTCGGTATTGGATGACGGCTGGTTTATGACCATCGTCTTATCCATGCTGACGGGCAGTCATCGTTGAGGTCCGCGTGGACACATGCATTCGTCAAGTGTTGAGAACCTTGTCATCGGTTTTGTAGGTGACGCTGATTTCGGGACGCTGGTCACGATATGCGTCCAGCAGCGCATCAGAGAACATGAAACTGACGAGTGGGAGCGAGTACGCAGCCCTGCTTCACTCCACTGGCCACTAAAA